CGAAATTCTTTAATTTAAACGTTTTTTTTTTGTGTGCTGCAATTTTTTATCTCGTTGTAATTTCGTCTGTCTTCTGCATCATTGAATTTTTTTTTTCTCTTTCGATTGGTGCTAGTGATGTGCAATCCGTACTTGTTAGTACCAAGCACGGTCAACTAGAACAGTGGTTACCATGTCGAACAGTTCAATAGTGCTCCGTAGCAAGGCGTTTTGTTTGACATGGTAGAGTTTATTGCTGCTATTACGTGTACTTTGCTTACTCTTTCATGTGTTCTAGAGCATAGTTGTTGAGCTGAAACTATGATCAGTCTAAATATTTAAACGATGTGTTGCAATCGGTGCGTTTATTCAAACTATAGCAAAATTTTTTTGCGTATTTTATTCGAGCACTAATTTCTGCGTGCAATTTGTGACAGCTTAATTGATTTAGTCGCAGACGCAAAAAAAGCAGCAAAGAGATCGTTAGCCAATGACGGTTGGTACCAACTGTTGCGAGTACGGGCGTTTTTTAGCGTCTGCGATTGAGAAAATGACTGGCTGGCTATAAGAAGGCTTATCGTCAGTCACTTCAGATAAAACTGCAACACCACTGAGTAACAAATAAACCGTTTCAAAAATTTTTTTTCGATCGCATTATTGATCAAATGCCTAATGAACAGTGGAAATCATAGTGAAATTCAAAGAAATTGCCATATAACAGTAAGGTAATGAGAGAAAGAAGTTCTGTTGGATCATGTGAAGAAGTTCTACGTTAAATAAAATGCCCCAATTGTAGGCATATAAATCGAGGTAAAGACTACCAAGCTAAAGTGAAGAAATGGGCTGATCGTGAGATCACTGATGAAGAACGAGAAGCGATTCCGGATCGTGACGATGCCGTGTTTGATTGTAATCTGATCGATCATTTGGAACCATGCGCTGGTATGCTAGCCATAGAACTACTAATAATAATGTTATCATATAGACAACAATCTGATACCAGTATCGCTGAATCTGCTGATATTAATAATGAGCACAAACCGTGTTGATCAGTTGGTTGAGCTAAGCCAATCCTGAATGGACAAAAGCAATGATATGACTTTGATATCACATCAAAACCTAATAATTTCAACTATGAATCCTGCATTCCATAGCTCAAATGAACAACAGTGGATGCGTATGAGATCAAATCCGTCCAGCTACGCTCTGAATAACTCATTCCTCTGAATAATGAATTACTCCTTCGATCACAAACACCGAACGTAATAATCATAAATTAGGGAACCACTAAAAAAGCAACGCATTTATTAATCGTCGCAAAATTACATCAGCGACCTTTGAATCTACATTTTTAGCTGTATCATTGCGTCACGTTGGTTGTTAATTGCGAAAGCATTTTGCAAAAAAATTTTATCAAATACATGCATCAGTGGTTGAATCAGCGTCGTCAGCTTCATTCCTCTCATTCCTTTGAATAACTCCTTCCTTCAGTCACAAACATCGAACGTAATAATCATAAACTAGGGAACCGCTAAAAAAGCTCACATTTACTAATCGCAAATTGACAAAAATTCCTTAAACGATCATTGCTTTGTTATGGTTGAATGGCAGAGAAACCTTCAACCGCTGTTTCATAAACATCAAAAGTTTCTTTTAGCGGAAACCTGCTCTGAGAGATGCTTAAATCCCATCCTATGGAAACGAGATAAAATCGAAAAACTATTCAGCTCATCTTCACAAAGTGTGTATTCCCAAGGAAATTTTTTCGATGCAATTATTCCACACTATAAACATGCAGTTTCACTGCTAACTTTTCCAGTAACAAAAGTAAATTATAGTCGAAGCATACGAGTTGCTAGCATGCAGTCAAGCAGTACCACGGCCTGGACGGAACAGGGAGCTCGCATTGCATCTGCTCATGGAAAACAAGGCAAGTAATGTGGCAGATAATTTTCGTTAAGAAGTTTCTCTAGCAATCTGAGATGATTTTATCGACTTCAGTGACTTGCACTTACACATACAACAGTTTATAAATGATTCCGTCAGTGTGCGATTCCCCAAACAGATCAAGCTTGATCTGGTTAGATCTGTCGGGCTCTGTATAGTTACTCTCGTCGCATTTTGCTTGGAGTTTCGATCAAATTTCATTTTCTTTAATTCGAATTGATTTCTGCTTCCTCATTCTGAACTATTGCTCACCTTCAGGGCAATATTCAAGCAGCCGTCATGGACTTGATGCGTTCAGATACACTGGATTGGGAACAGTATCCTATCATCTACAACAATATCTACAATGATACTGATCCATGGACACCCGAGGATGTGCAATCCTTTCAGGATGCCATCTATAAAAGCGAAAAAGATTTTCATCAAGTCGCACGTGATGTGAGCTTGGAACGATTGATTGATTTCTTGATGGTGTTCTCAGTCCATAATATTTCACAATCTCTTAAAAGATTGCGTTGTATATTCTTTTTTGAGATTCAGTTTCTCATATTGTTGATTTCAGCTCGGCAATAAAACGGTGAAACAATGTGTTGAGTTCTATTATATGTGGAAGAAAGCATGTCCGGATGATTATCGTAAGCTGAGGAATTTGAGACGGAAGCGACAGTTGCTTGAGATGCATCAACAGGTTGGAAACCTTCTCAAATCTGTTGTTATCGGCGTTCTCATCAATTCTCTGTCATATATTCCATCAAACGACATTCCAGATGGAACCCGGTGAATCGTACAATCTTCGGTCATCGGCCAGGAATGCAGACGGCGAAGAGGGTTCAGAGACATCCGAGGCCGAATCTGATGCCACCTACCCTTCGTATGCTACTGATCAAGACCAAGTGCTCCAAGATGAAAGGTTTGCAAATCTTTGCTTGTTCACCGTGTATGACTGTGGTTTCAACCAGGAAATATTATCGAGAATTCGCTGAATCTATGCATATTCACCTAAGTTTTGGTATAACTTTCGTATTTGCATCGAGACGAATGCTTGAAGAAGCAATATGTCGATGATTCAGGTTGGATAAAGGTGGTGTGTTGAACTTAGCCGCCGAGAATATAGTACCGACGGGAACACAACAACAACGGAAAACATCCGCAACGATGCGTCTCCACGACGGTGCAAACGACTCGGCAGCTGCAGTCATAAAGCAACTGTCGCCGACCGTAATCAGTGAATCCCTAGCCACTCTGGCTCAACAACAAAGCTGCTTATCGCAACGGACCTCAACTCACCATCATCATCATGCTACCGTAAATTTTGGTTTATCATGCCAGGCGACTGGCGATTTTGATTGTGTCTCTCAGTGCGATATTTCCAATTCTGAACGATTGTTTCACAAAGTACGTCAAAAGTTATTCGGTTTACGTATTCGATTATGACTTGCGCTATTCGAATTATCGTGCTTCATCATTCATTCATTTATGCATAGCGTTTGTCCACTTCAATCAAGTAAGTGCTTGACCATTGCACGTTACCGTCATCATTTTATGCTTGATTTACTTTAGGTTCATCGAACGCCAGTCAAGAAGGGTGCTCAACCGTCTGCAGATGGTTATTTCCATTGTCGACTCTGTGATAAATGTTTCGAAAAGGTGAAACTTTTATTTTATCTCTTTACCAAATCATCTTGTAATCAGTGAATCTCTAGTAATCAATGAATCCCTAATCAGTGGATCTTTCCCAAATCATCTGGTGTGCTTCCACAACAATAGAATAACGATATAGTCGCACTCTGATTAGATTTTTAAAAATCTTTTCGAGAAATGTGGTGCTGACTTTTGCCTGAACCATCATAGTAACCTGTTTTTTTGTTTCAAACTTCAAATGTTATTTATCGGTTTTCAGGTGAAAAGTTTGAATGCTCACATGAAATCGCATGCAATGAAGGCTCGGGCGGAGGCTGAAGCTCAGGCTCAGTTGAACTTGCAATTCGGTGCTCAAGCGCAGCAAGCACAACGAACCGTTCAACAGGCTCCACAAGCGCATCAAAACCAGCAACATTCGCAAGCCCATCAGCAGCATCGTCACCAGCAACAGGCTGTTGCCCCAACACCCCGCACTCCGGTCTGCGATAAACAACCCACTGTCGTCTCGCCCAACAGCAGCGCCACTGTACCGAGTATCGCCGCCACAAACAGTGCCATGGCGGCCGCCCATCATAATGCCCTTGCGCAGAGTCCGTTGGCTCGAGTTGCGCAGAATCTCTCACAGAATCCGTTTGGAGCGTTAGCGCAACCTGGTCTCGCGCAAGATCTATTCGTTCAAACGTCCTTATCTGGTGATCAGTTGGCGCAGAGTACACTAATGCAGAGTCCCTTGGGGCAGGCTTCGTTGGCCGCCCATTCAGCCCTGGGGCAGTCGCTGACTGCAGCCAGTGTTTTGAGTCAACTACCTCAAGCTCAAGCTTTGCACTTCTTGAATACCCTTCACCATCCGACTCTAACACAATGACTATTTATGAACGGGATTGAACCTTAAATGTGTGGCCATACTCCAAATTCCTCGACACCAGTACTTTGCTCTCGCGGAGTTACTGCGTAGTCGTCGTGCGATCGAAAAAA